TTCCCAAAACAAGGACCAGTATAACCCCTTCCCTGGTTGGACTGTTTACATACTGTGTCAAGAAACCCTCCTGAATGGTCCTTACAAATTCTGCCCCATTCAAACCCCTAGAACATAATGAGTCTCAGTCAATATAGAGGAAGTTAAAATCACCCACAACAACAACTTTGCTGTTTTTACCTCTTTCCAAAATCTGTCTACATATTCTCTCCCCTATCTCCCGCTGGCTGTTCAGATGCCTGTAGTATATCCCCATCATTGTGATTTCATCTTTCCTGTTCCTGATTTCTAGCCAAATTGCCTTGCTGCACGAGTCCTCTGATGTATCCTCCCTCAATACAGCTGTGAGATACTCCTTTACCAGTAATGCAACTCCTCCACCCGTTTTACTTCCCTTTCTATCACACCTGAAACATTTATATCCCTGAACATTCAGCTGCCAGTTCCTCTTTCAGCAAGTCTCTGGTCATAGTTCCAAGTACTAACCAATGCTCTAAGTTCAGCTACCTTGCCTATTGTACTTCTTGCATTGAAACACATGCATTTCAGACCACCTCCCCTGCTCTTTTCAGCAGCGTTTCTCTGCCTGTTCTTGTTCTTAGTCATGTTTGCCTTGGTTTCTACCTCTCCTTCAATTTCTGCATCTACTGCCCTACTCCTCTGGATCCCATTCCCCTGCCACACTAGTTAAACCCTCCCCAACCACTCTACCAAGTATCCCCCCAAGGACATCAGTGCTGCCCAAATGTAACCCGTCCAGTTTGTACAGGTTCCACCTCCCCCAGAACCGCTTCCAATGCCCCACGAATCTGAAACCTTCCCCTTGACATCATCTTTTCAGCCACGTGTTCATCCTATCTATCCTGCTGTTTCTACTCTGACTATGTTGTGGCCCCGGCTAGTAATCCTGAGAGATAACTACCTTTGAGGTCCTACATTTCAACTTTTCTTCCTAGTTCTCTGTATTCTGCTTTTAGGACCTCATCCCTTTTTTTACCTATGTCATTAGTACCAACATGTACCACGACCGCTGGCTGTTCACCCTCGCTCTCCAGAATGTCCTGCAACATCCAGGACCCTAGGACCAGGGAGGCAACTCACCATTCTGGACTCTCGTTTGCAGCCACAGAAACGCCTGTCTATTCCCTCTCCAGTTGAATCTCCTATGACTATAGCATTTAATACAGTAGGAATTACCAGACAGTAAGAAGCCATTCAGCACCCAATGTTCCTGGCAGTTGTTCTTCTGTAATCCCAATTCCTTAATACTTTTATATTTCTCATTTTAGAAATACTTCACCTTTTAATGATATTCTTCTCTCAGCCTTTGTGGTCACTTTTGGTTAGCTCTTACCGAACGAGCATTACTGTCCTCCTTTATTTCTTCCAATGAAAATCCTCGAGTCTCCATCCTCTCATTCCCCAACTCACATATCCCCCACTCAACCATTACCATCAAGCCAAGGCATCAACCCTGGTTCAATGAAGAGTGCAGGAGGGCATGCCAGGAGCAGCACTAGGCAGACCTGAAGATGAGGTATCAACCCGGTGAAGCCACCAAACAGGACTACTTGCATGCCATACAGCGAAAGCAGCAAGTAATAGACAGAGCTAAGCGATCCCACAACCAACGGATCAGATCTAAGCTCTGCAGTCCTGCCACATCCAGTCATGAATGTTGGTGGACAATTAAACAACTCACTGGAGGAGGAGACTCGACAAAGATGCCCATCCTCAACGATGGAAGAGCCCAGCACATCAGTGCAAAAGGTAAGGCTGAAGTGTTCGCAGCAATCTTCAGCCAGAAGTGCCGAGTGGATGATCCATCTTGGCCTCCTCCAATGGTTCCCAGCATCACAGATACCAGTCTTCAGCCAATTCGATTCACTCCACATGATATCAAGAAACAGCTGGAGACACTGGATACTGGAAAGGCTACAAGCTCTGACAACATTCTGGCAACAGTACTGAAGACTTGTGCTCCAGAACCTGCTGCTCCCCTAGTCAAGTTGTTCCAGTACAGTTACAACACTGGTATCTACCCGACAATGTGGAAAATTGCCCAAGAATGTCCTGTACACAAAAAGCAGGACAAATCCAACTTTTACAGGCCAATTACTGCCCCATCAGTCTCCTCTTGATCATCAGTAAAGTGTTGGAAGGTGTCATCAACAGTGCTATCAAGCAGCACCTGCTCAGAAATAACCTGCTCAGTGACGCCCAGTTTGGGTTCTGCCAGGTCCACTCAGCTTCTGATCTCACTCCAGCCTTGGTTCCAACATGGACAAAAGAGCTGAATTCCAGAGGTGAGGTGAGAGCGACAGCGTTTGATATCAAGGCTGCATTTAACCGAGTGTGGCAACAAGGAGCCCTCGCAAAACTGGAATCAATGGGTATCAGGGGGCAAACACGCTAATGGTTGGAGTCATACCTGACACATAGGAAGATGGTTGTGGTTGTGGGAGGTCAATTATCTCAGCTCCAGGACATCTCTGCAGGAGTTCCTCAGAGTTGTGTCCTAGACCCAACCATCTTCAGCTGCTTCACTAATGACCTTCCCTCCATCATAAGGTCAGAGGTGGGGATGTTCGCCAATGATTGCACAATGTTCAGCACCATTCGTGACTCCTCAGATACTGAAGCAGTCCATGTTCACATGCAACAAGGTCTGGACAATATCCAGGCTTGGGCTGACATATGGCAAGTGACATTCACGCCACACAAATGCCAGGTTATGACCATCACCAGTAAGAGACAATCTAACCACTGCCCCTTGACATTCAATGGTGTTACCTTCACTGAATCCCCCACTATCAACATTCTGGGGATTACCATTGACCAGAAACTCAACTGGACTCACCACATTAACAGAGTGGCAGCAAGAGCAGGCCAGAAGCTGGGAATACAGCGGTGAGTAATTCACCTCCTGACTCCTCAAAGCCTGTCCGCCATCGACAAGGCACAAGTCAGGGGTGTGATGGAATACTCTCCACTTGCCTGGATGAGTTCAGCCCCAACAACACTCAAGAAGCTTGACACCATCCAGGACAAAGCAGCCCGCTTGATTGACGCTACATCTACAAGCATTCATTCCCTCCACCACTGACGCTCAGTAGCAGCAGTGTGTACTATCTACAAGATGCACTGCAGAAATTCACCAAAGATCCTTCCAAACCCACAACCACTCCCATCTAGAAGGACAAGGGCAGCAGATATATGGGAACACCACCTCCTTCAGGTTCCCCTCCAAGTCACTCACCATCCTGACTTGGGTCACTGGGTCAAAATCCTGGAATTTCCTCCCTAATAGCATTGTGGGTCAACCCACAGCAGGAGGACTGCAGCGGTTCAAGAAGGCAGCTCACCAACACCTTCTCAAAGGAAACTAGGGATGGGCAAGAAATGCTGGCCAGCCAGCGATGCCCAAATCCACAAATGAATTAAAAAAACCATCACCTGCCACAAGTGTAACAGAGTCTGTAGTAGCCGCATCGGTCTGTACAGCCACCCGTGGACTCACTGAGAGTGAAGGAGAGTTATTCTTGTCAACAAGGGACCATCAATGATGATGCTAGGAGTGACAATAACCAACAATCTGTCCTGGACCACCCACATAGATGTGGCAGTCAAGAAGGCACAACAAAGCCTCTTCTTCCTCAGGAGGCATAGGAAATTCGGCGTGTCCATAAGGACCCTCACTAACTTTTACAGATGCACCATAGGAAGCATTTTATCTGGATGCGTCAAGGTTTGGTAGGGCAACTGCTCTGCCCAGGACCACAAGAAACTATAGAAAGTTGTTAACACAGTCCAGACCATCACGGAAATCAACCTCCTATCCACTAACTCCATCTATACTTCTCATTGCCGCGGAAAGGCAGCTAACATCATCAAAGACCCCTCCTATCCGGGTTGTAATCTCTTTCAACCTCTTCTGTCAACCAGAAGATACAAAAGCTTAAACACACATACCAGCAGAAGAACAGTTTCTTTCCTGCTGTTATTAGACTGTCGGTTGGACCTCTCAAATTTAAAATCTAATGTTGATCTTGCTTTTGCAGCCATAACTTTGTATGCCTCACTCTGTTCAATCATCCTATGATCTGTATGTCCTTGTATGTTATGATCTGCCTGTACTTCACACAAAACAAAACTTTCTACTGTCCTTATGTACATTGGACAACAATAAATCAAATTTAATCTAATGCTGGTCCTTTTAAAACCATTAACTTGCTGTGTACCAGCCCCCTAGTTCCACTGGTGTCTGATGGAATTCAGGGAGTTGCTTGCTGTTGTCTGTCCAACAAGCATTTGCTTAGTAAAGATTGTGCAAAGTTTCCTCCCTTTGAGAGGTAATGAGGAAACCTCTAGATATGTTAAAGACTTGGCACAGCCAGGTTTCCAGGGTGCAAAGAAAGTCTAGCAGTAGCTCCAAAGAATTTCCAACTTCTTTTCTATAATTTTTTTTTCAAGAATCATCTTGGGCCACTTCCATTTCAGCTATTGCTCTGTGTATTGCATAATATTACAGAAGAGGCTTCCTCCTACTCCTCCTCAGGCCTTAGCTGTGACTTAATTGGCAGCACTCTTGCCTCCTTAAGTCAGAAAGTCACTGGTTCAAGTTACACTCCAGATACATGAGTTTTAAATCTAGGCTGATAAGATGCAGTATGGAGACAGTGCTGCCATTTTACAAAAGTGCCAACCAAGACCCCAGTGTGAACATAAGATAACCTATGGTGCTAATTTGAAAAAGGGAAGGGGCGTTCTTCTAGTGACATTACTGAATAACAGTGTGTCTGGACACTACCAAATTGCTGTTTGGTGACCTTGTTGTGTGCAAAGTGCCAAGTATTTAATTGCCTGTGAAGTAATTTAGATCATCACATCCTGAGGTGGTGACAAGCACTATATAGGACTACCTTTTTCTTCTTTCCCACTACCAGCTTCTTCCTTAAGAATGAACCTCTTCTATCATGAAGTTAGGCTAGAGTGGAAGGTGCAGTTAGATATAACAATTTATTCAGGCAAAAGAAGTTACACAAAGAGGAACAATGCAGGTTACGTGATATGCTGATCATTCCAATACATCATGTTGGACTTCGTTGGTTAACATATATCATTAGGCCAGTTTTAACAGACCTCAATTAGGCACAGTCAAGCAAGGCAACTCGAGTCATGTAAATATTTTGTTTCCATGTGTAGTGACTCATAAATTGCAAAATCATGTACAACTTTGCTTTGCTGACTACAGCATCCAATTATCTTATAAATGAATCCATACATCAAGCTTCACAATGTCACATTCCCTTAACATCTACTGTTGAAGAGTGGGTAAACTAGAATCTGAAGAGAAAACATTAGATTTCAGAATGCAAGCAAATTATTCTAGAAGTTGGCTTCTTCCTTATCCTAGCATTCTCTGAAAGTTGCGAATCAAAGCTTTTCCATCATTATATTAATGATCAGTGAAGATATCAAATGGGTTGTGAATTTATGACTCCTACACTTTTTACTTAATTTTTAACCAAAATGATGTGTTTATTTAACATTAATGCTTTTTTTCTAGACTTTTAATGTTTACTAATGAAGTATTTCTTGCACTATAAGTTAAGCATCCTTGGCTATTCTTACACAGTGGATGCAGTTATAGTAAACATATTTGAAAGCCTAACTTTGTTAAATGTGGTGACAGATAAATAACTAATTTGCAACATTTAATAAAAACGGAGCTCATATGCTAGCATGTAGCCACCATTAAAAATATAGAGTCTCCTATCTGCTGGGTTGTAGTGGATATTTGCCACATTTGGAGAATATTTCACAAAACGGATTTTGAGATTTTGGGCCTCTTGATTATTGATTGTATCATACATATAAAATATCTCCTCTTCAGTCTCACTGATGTAACGGGTGGCATAAAGCACCCCACAAATCACAAAGGCATTGGTTGCTGCTTTCTTAAAGAGCTTGGTTTTCCAGGTCTGCATAACAGCCAAACTAATGCTGTCTATTTTACTCAATACGATATTGCCATAATTCTCTTCAGTGGCATAAATGACCCAAAGACCATTTTCATCCACTGAGAAATCCATATCACTATGACTGTAGCAGTCATAGTAACAGTAAGGGAACTTGTTTTCATAACCAGCATCAGGAAGGAGAACATTTGTGATGGCTTTTGTCGCCATGTCAAACCTACACATTTCTCCCGACTTATAACAGTTATAGTACAAAGAGTTGTTGTAAACCACAACCCCTGGACCCTGAATCGCATTGGTGGTGGTGAATGATGATTTCACTGAAATATCAATGTTGGACTTTGCTGTCAGGAAGTTTTTGTAAGAAGTGTAGGTTCGGATTGAATTCCCATAAATGTTGGAAGACTGCAGTGCCATGATCCAGTAGAGTTGCGGACTTCCTGGCTTTGAGTCCATACCCCAGCCTCCATAATGGTATGATGTGCCGTATGGATTGAGTTGTGCTACTATTGGCTCGCTTACGTTGAGTAAAATTCCTTCAGAACAGTTTCCTAGAAGAAACACAATTAATTATAGATGCATTTTTTAAAATTGTTTTGAAAAATGCTTCTTTAATCAGAGACAATAGAGAGAACTTCCTGTTATACCAATCAATCTCAAACCAACTCCATTATTCCTAACATGCTCAAATCATGAAACCTCATTCTGATTAGTCACACTGCCAACACTCTTATTATTTCCTACTTAACATGGCCCCATCTTTTCCTCAGTTTCAATCCCATGCCGAGACTTCCCATCTAACCTGACCCTTATTCCTATCATTTCCATCAGATTTAAACTTCACCTCCACTGCTTCCATCATTTTCAGGTCACTCCCATACTAACCAGAGTTAATTCTTCGTGAATAAGAGCCTAAAAATATTTTAATTCAGGCCTGTGCTTGTAACCTTGTGAAGGACATTTGCATTATACTTGTGCTGGAATGAGTACCTTTTATAATGACTTGTGGATTATATCTCACTGACACTATTTACATAGGAGGTAAGATAATTGCAAGCTTGGCCCACTTAGCTTTGAATAATATATCCACAAGGATGAGATTTTCATTTTGTGGAGGGATGTGAACTGCAGTCAAACCAGCCACCCTGGAAACGTCGAAAGTTTGCCTAGACATCTGTGATTAAACCTGCGCCTCTGCTTGATTAATAGATTTGGCTCTCTGACCTCTGCTATCAATATCGCAGCACTTATTTACACCAAGTTAAGGGGTTTCAAGTGTTTACAGTTTCAGTTATCGATTCTTTAGAGGATCTGGATGATTGACACTTCTATTGTAGTGAAATGGAGATTTTTTTTAACATGTTGGAATGTTGTCAATGATTAACTGTTCTGTTAAAACATTTTGTTAACACACTGTCGTAAAACCATATGTCTCCATTGCTTCTATATAGTGGATAGTGGGTGAATGATCACAGAGTGACATAGTATGGCATAGGTAGGGGAGGTGCAATGAAAAGTCAAGTGGTTGCATGAAGAAAAACTTTTGAAGTTACCTTTTAAAAGATTGCCTCACGCTGATTCACAACATTGCTGAGTTGCCATTAACCACAACTCCTTAAGAGCTGGTCTGACTAAATAGCATAAATGTTAGGAGTCAGCTCATTTGTTCTGGTCACTCAAAATTCAGCATAAATGAACAATATTAAGTATCATCCTGAACTGGATATTTTCCATGTGTGAATATAGAGATTGGGTGACGACAGGATATATAGTCAGCAACAAGAACGTGAAGTGAAACGTTTTGGGGCATTTCACAGGAGTATATTCAGACAAGGACTCAAGCCAAAGGAAAAAAATAGTCTTAGATCAGGAGATTACCAGTTTGGTCAAGCTGTTTAAAATAGTGTCTTGAAAGAAGGGAGAGAGGTGGATAGAGTGGAAAGTTCAAGAGAAGGAACTCCATGTCAAGGATCTAGGTAGCTAAATATTGGCTGACAACACTGCAGTAAAGCAAGTCAGTGATGCATCTGAGCCCAACCTTGGAGGAACTCTGAATACGAATCAGGTTTTAGAACTGGAGAATGTTATAGAGATGGGAAGGGGTGAACCCAGTCCTGTCACCGGAAAATGTCCATTTTCATGTTTTTTCATGCACTTCAGGATTATCTGGACAGTCAGTCTTAGGATGTTTCATTGTCCATCTTAGGTAAACGCAATTACAGTGGCTTCATTACAACCCTTGCAGGGCTCAGCTAATTCAATAAAGGCAAGGAATTAAGGTTTGTCACTATCAGTCAGTGATATTTCTTGCAATGTCTTTTGAACTTGAATATTATTTTATAAAGTAAGCTTCCCATCATTTATATAAACCTGTCTATTAAAAACTTCAGAGAGATAGTAGGAACTGCCGATGCTGGAGAATCTGAGATAACATGGTGTAGAGCTGGATGAACACCAGGCCAAGCAGCATCAAAGGAGCAGGAAAGCTGACGTTTCAGGTCTAGACCCTTCTTCAGAAATGGGGGAGAGGAAGGGGATTCTGAAATAAATAGGGAGAGAGGGGGAGGCGGATAGAAGATGGATAAAGGAGAAGATAGGTGGAGAGGAGACAGACAGGTCAAAGAGGCGGGGTCGGAGCCAGTAAAGGTGAATGTAGGTGGGGAGTTAAGGAGGGGATAGGTCGGTCCAGGGAGGATGGACAGGTCAAGGAGGCGGGATGAGGTTAGTGGGTAGGAGATGGGGGTGGGGCTTGAGGTGGGAGGAATGGTTAGGGAGGTGGGGACGAGCTGGGCTGGTTTTGGGATGCGGTCGGGGGAGGGGAGATTTTGAAGCTGGTGAAGTCCACATTGATACCCTTGTGCTGCAGGGTTCCCAAGCGAAATATGAGATGCTGCTCCTTTCGGGTGGCATCATTGTGGCAATGCAGGCAGCCCAGGATGGACATGTCGTCTCAAAATAATATGGTTGCCATTAAGATGTAGTCTTTGTAACTAATATATGAAACTAATAATATGTAACCTTACCAATGGGTACATTGCCATAGACGGAGAAACTCTGCAAGCGGTTCTTCATTTTCTTCAAGTGGTCTTTCATGGACAGTAGATTGTGCTTGTCATATTGCTGTAGATTTTTCACACTGAGGCGGGCATCAAGCATCTGGATCACAAATGTAATTCATTACATGGCCTGACGTGAGATATAAATAATCTATTTGGGATAATTGGAGGTCTGTTTATTGTTAGGGTGGTGGACAGCCTGCTTATTATTGAGCATTATGGGCAATCTGTTTATTTTGGGGTATTTGACAGCCTGTTTATGAGATGGAAACAAAGATTAGGAGGAGAAAGAATGGACAAGCTGAAAAAGGAGGTTGGATCTCAGAAGCAATAAGAGGATGTGATAACAGGCAGTTGATTAGGAGAATGGCTCTGAAATGCAATTCAAGGAGGAAAAAACTCTTATTGTTTTATGTAATGGCCTGAACTCTACATTGAGGCAGGAGGAGCAGGCAGTAAGGCACTTTCAAAAAGTTGGCTGATGACTCTCTCTCTCTCTTGAAAGACAGTCTCCATTACACTTTAGATGGCATTGGGAAATGCAAAACACATAACTATGATAAATGGACTGTAACGATGGCATTCCAGTCTGGCTTCACCAGCTAGCATCATTGAAAAAATAGATACATTTAATATGCCAATACTTGGAAGCAGTTGATTTTCTATCCCTTTTGTCTTTCTGTTGGTTTTATTTCATTAATGAAAGCTACAAGTGGAAAACTCAAAATAGGGGCTGCTGAAGAATAATTAACATGAAGTCAGTAACTCACTGCTATGAGATCCGAGAGAAAGAAGCAAGCATTTAACCTCACGTGTTGAATGAAGTAGCTCAAATGATTGAGCTAGGTTAAAATTAACTAAAATACTAACATTGAAGTGATTGATATTGAAGTTCAGGGTGTTTTTAGCAGTGTTAATCAAAAATATTACATGCATACAAATGAAGTGGTCACTTGTTCACAATAGCTGTCCTGCTTCATTGGCTAGTTACAGCTTTAACCACACCAACAGTTCCAAGTGGGAGCAACAGAAGGAAAAGGGGAATATATCATGTAACTGTTTGGCATAATACCCTAAAGTGACAGCTTATGAGAGGAAGCATGTTATTTTAGAATGTCATGAAAACTTATTTCACACCAGTGCAAAATGCAGAAATTGAATTAAGTTTGAAGCTAATTATAAGATCAAGTTGAGTGAGATTTCCATTGCCCAGAGGGTTTGACACACTATTTTGCTTCAATGTTCAGTTAGGCTTCAACGCCAGGTTCTCATGCAATTATAGTTTACTTCTAGAACCAGAGTGTGGTGAATTACCTATGGATTGTAGTGTAATTGGGCTCTTTGTGAATCACAGCCTTAAAAAAAGGCCTGATCGCCATGTGGAATTTCCTGAAGGTTATAATTTGCTGGTTAGTAACAGCACTTTTTTTTTGTAGCTAAGTAAACATCTACAGACTGTGAGGCCTGGAAGGAGTAACTAAGTGGGAGGTCAGTTATATGCCGGCATTTCCAGATTTTTAGGTTTTGACTTTTACTGGGAGATGTGGTCAGGATAGTTGAATGGAATACCATCCCGGAGATCTCAGTGGGAGGTTGAGGCCATTTTAATGATTTTGTTACATTGAAATATTCCAGCATTGTCCACCTCTTAAAACTGGCAGACTGACATTTGGGTCAACAGAAAATTGGACTTCCTTTTATTATTTCACAGACATGGGTGTGACTGGCTAGGCCAACATTGAGTGCCCACCCCTAATTGCCCTTAAGAAGTTGGTGCTGAGTGACCTTCTTGAATAACTACCGTCCATGAGGTAAAGTTGCGACCATAATGCTGTTAGGGAGGTGTTCAGCATTTTTGACTGGCAGCATTGGGAGATCAGCCATATACTTCTATGTTAAGATGGTTCATGGCTTTGAGGGGAACTTGCAGGTAGTGGGTGTTCCAACGTATTTTCTGCCATTGACCTTCTAAATGAGATTGCAGGTTAGGAAGGTGCTGTCAAATGAACCTTTGTGAGTTACTGCAATGCAGTTTGTAGATGGTACATACTGCTGCCATTGTGCTTTGTGGCAGTGAGAGTGAACGTTGAAGGTGATAAGTGCAGCACCAATCAAACAGGCTGCTGGGTGGTATCAAGCTCCTTGAGTGTGATTGTTAGGATGCCAGGGAGTCAAAGGAAGGTTTCTCAGAACCTCGGTGCTGTCCAAGGGCTTCCAGCAACCAATAGAGAGGAAAAGGTAAAATCAGAGGTAGGAAGTCAACACCTCCTCTATTGCTCTTCTATCAATTCCACAAAACATGCGCAACCACCTGACTGTTAAAATCAGGATGCAACACGAATAACGACAGTAGGCTGCACATTTGAACCTAAAGCATTCCTCTATTTACCTGCAGTGGAAAACTTGATCAACTTAAAATTAGCAAAGGTTAAATGGCACCAAATGGGAATAGAGAGACTTCAGGCTGATAAGTGGACTTCAACCTAATTTGATCAACTCCCATGCAATACTCCTGCTGACGAGGAAAAATGGGCGCTGAAATCAGAGCCAAAGTTTCAACCAAATACTAAATCCTGTGATCACAGTACACAGATGATACAATTTTATTACAAATACTTAAAACAAATCTCAATTTATCTCACCTCGGTGAAGATCTTGCGAAGTAAGTTGGTGGTTGATGAAGGAACACTCTGCGCCTTTGCAATGTCTGAGCTGAGTTGTTTCAGGTCCCGGCGGAGGCTCCAAAAGTTGAGTGGTTGATACAGTTGCTGTTTGTACATTGCTTCATACTGCTGCAGCTGAGCAGATAGGTTCAATAACTCTTTCTGGAACTCTGGAATCTTGGACTCAACAAAAGTTGCCTTGAAATTTTCAATATCGTGAGAGAAAAAAAACCATGATAAATAAATGATCAAATCCAGTCCTTATGAGAGGAGCTAGAAGGGAATGAGTTAGAAACATTACAGCATCTATTGATTCAGAGATAGTGGGGACTGCCGATGCTGGAGAATCTGAGATTACAAGGTGTTGAGCTGGATGAACACAGCAGGCCGAGGAGCATCAGAGGAGCAGGAAAGCTGATGTTTCGGGTCTGGACCCTTCTTCAGAAAATTTTTGAATTTTTTGAAACTCTGAAAGCAACACTTTGTTATCCACCTAGCCTTCTCCTCCATGAACCTAGACTGAGTTATTTGATTAGGGTATATTTCACAGCTGAACTTGTGCCTACCTACACACCTTCCCAATGGAAGAGAAGTCAGTGCACAGCAATCAGAAACGGAAACTATCTCTTAAATTTGTCTGTTAGTTAACGTGCCATCATCAGGTCAATTGAAGCTGCGTCTTTCTGGCACTTTTGCTCAGTATCATCCGAAGTAGTGAGCTTGCCCAATTACCAACTCACCCATTCTTGATGCTCCATTGCAATTCAACCAACCAGTGAACTTCCAGGGAAAGACTGGTTTCCTGAAGAGAGCCCAAAAACCTGATGTCTGAGTCTAAGTTTTGAAATTGATACAGGAGAGTGCAATCTCTGACTATTACTAAAAGATCATGAAAAATATACTAATAGATATCCACTGAACAATAAATAAGGATAGCCAGTTTATAATTAAGCATACCCCAGGCAATTCATGTGTCATCATTCACCTGAAAAACAAAGATCCTTGTGTCCTGTCTGGTGAAATAAAAAATCCTTTGCCACTTTTTGAAGAAGCATAACGTGCTCCTGGTTTTGTATCCTACACTTTATTTATTCTTCAACCAATATCAACCAACAGATTATCTGGTCTTTTATCACATTTTATTTGGGAGAGTTTGCTGTGCATAAATTGGCACAGTTTCCTTTATTGTAACAATCACGCTTAAAATGTACTTCATTGATTGTAGTGTTTTGAGATATCCTACAGTCATGAAAGGTGCTATATAAATGCAAATCTTTCTTTTGGATATATTAGGAGCTGTTGGACAATAGATGAGTTAATGGGCATCCGGGTGAATAGGAGTCAATGTCTTTATTTTCTTCTCTGTGTGAATGAGTTTCAGAATCTGTGTCACCTCGTCTTTATGAATGCCAATATTTCGATTGCACTTGTGGACAGATTTCAGAGCCTGTATTGCACCTTCTGTGTGACATGCTGTTGGACTGTGTGTGCTGCTGCTGTCTGTGTTTACATTTGCTCACCTCTAATTTTCTCTCTTCTAGAGATTTGGTGCAATTCTGTGACAGATCTTGTAACTGTCCAAATCTTTCTACCGGAAATTCCCATGCAGAAAATTGCATTTTGCAGACACATCGATTCCCATTCTGAAGGACTCCATGAACTTCCTGGTATTGGTATTCTGCTTCCTGCAAAACACACGGCCATTAGTTGAGATAAGGTCCTTGGAATCTCCTCCACAGCATCACAGTGAACTCCTAAACTGACACTGTTAGACCCAAACCTAGTCCCATAGAGTTGCCATTTTCACAGAGGTATTGATAAAAATCATAAGGTTAAATTCAAATCATGGCTTTATGAAGTAAGCAATTGGTTGTTTGAACCAAACATCCCATTAGATATTGACAGTCTGCCTAAAGTATAAAATTGCCTGGATTTTAACTTTGCAACATGCTGTGAGTGATGGTGGTTGGGATTCTGGTAGTTTTTGAAAACTTGGAAGCCATTGCTGAGCATCAGCCGCCAGTGGCTGTTCAATGCAGCCACAGCATTACAGTATAATTTCCAGGTTTCCTGAACAATTAGCATGAGTAGGTGTGATAATAACCTGCAAGAGATGATTTCAACTGCAGCAATTAAAGGGACTATCCAACCCTGCACTTTGTTGGATTTTGGAGTTGGGAACATACCACAAGGAACTGGCAGAAGAGTCCAGGTATTCAAGCGTGTACCTCACTTTAGTAGCACCTCCATGGATGAGATGTTGGGAGAAGAACGGATCCACAAAGAGACACTTCCCTTTTCAAGGTAATCTGAGGCAGACTGGACAACAATCAGGGCCAAACATTGCATCATAGGCACCTTCGTGATTTTGCACTACATATAGCAATATATATGATGGTTTGATCAGGCATTAATATACAAGGTTTAATATGCTCTCTCTCAACTTCAAGCTTACATTGTGAGCAGATAACTGGGGCCCTATTCACGAGGTTGCCAACGAGGATGATCTTGTAGTATGTCAAATCACACTAATCTCAACAAGTATAGCGACCAGTAGACATGAATTTGCAGTAAATGTTATTAGAAAACCGATGGGACCTGAAAGAAGCTTGATTTCCCTCACATTACGCTGAAAGGAGAAGGTGTCTCAAAAATTCAAACAACAGGTGAAGCTCGAGATAGTAAGAACTGCCCATGCTGGAGTCTGAGATAACACAGTGTGGAGCTGGAGGAATACAGCAGGCCAGAAAGCATCAGAGAAGCGGGAAAGCTGACGTTTCGGCTTGGGACCCTTCTTCAGAAATCTGAAAATCAGCAGGTCCGGCAGCATTTGTGCAGAGAAAGCAGAGTTAATGTTTCCGGTCCAGTGTTCTAAAGAAGGGTCACTGGAGCCGAAACGTTAACTCTTCTTTCTCTGCACGTGCTGCCAGACCTGCTGAAGTTTTCCAGCAATTTCTGTTTTTGCTTCTCAAATTGTGTTTCCTTTCTAAATTTGGCCTCTTGCATCAGTCTTGACGAGTACAAGTTGAAAGGCTCTGGCTTTGTGTTATTTTAGCAATGTTTAAGTTTGTATTGTCAAGCACTTGTTTATACTAATTTTTCTGTATGCTATCTAACCCCTGAACCATCTGAAATATCTTGACTGTTGTTGAGATTTGCCAACGCTTTTCAGGATATCCCAGGACTCACCCCCGCTGATCAGAATACATTCCCTTTGTCCCCAGTCAAGAGAGAAAAAAAGGCGATTATGTTGTTTATTTTTCGAGAATTTGTGTCTAAACAAGCATGAGGCAAGAGATTCCGTCCGATGACTGTGAAGGGAACGCCGTCTGTACAAAGAACTCCGTTTTGGTTTGGTTTATGATTGAGGAAGATTTCCTTCCACTGCAAGTCGCAAACCAATAACCGGGGAAATCTCAGTCCGAACTTCATGTTTTCCAGTCCCCTTCGTAACGGTCAAACCGCGGGGGTTTCCACTCCAGTGAAAGCCTGTTTCCCTTCTTTGTACGGAACTGTGACTGACTCTTCCACAGGGCGATTGCGCGTAACATTGCGGATACACCAAAGGGAGCGGGTCTGGCCTGGATGGGATCAACCCAACTCAGCAACCTGCGGGGCAAGCAGCCACCGCCCCTGGCCCCAACCTGTCCTGTTTCTATTTGGTGAATTCCTCTGTCCTTCGTTGGCACCCTCCAGCACAGTCACCGCCTCAATAAATGGGAAAGGCAGCCACAAGTCCTCCTGAGCCCCTGGAGGGGCAAATTCAACAGTAAATCAACAACAGAAGTTGCTGGAAAAGCTCAGCAGCTCCGGCAGCATCGTGAAGAAAAAAAAGTTAACTTCTGAGAAAGGGTCACCGGACCCGAAACTTTAACTCTGATTTTTTTTCTTCACGGATGCTGCCAGACCTGCTGAGCTTTTCCAGCAGCTTCAGCTTTTGTTCCTGATTTACAGCAGTTCTTTCGGTTTATACTTAGTAAATCAACAATATTGTTTTAACTGTAACCGGACAAATAATGAGTGGGTTCAGGGGAGAGAAGGGAAAGGAGGAGAGGGAAATGACTGAAGAGAACAGAGAGTGTCGAGGAATAGGGATAACGTGCCCCAGGAGCTGAAACGCGTTATTTGCGACAAACGAGCGAGCCAGGACTCGTTGTGACACAGTAGTACTCACAGCAAAAAGGAGGGCGCTGGCAGTCACAAAGATCACGGCAAAAGTCAGAGAACTCGCAGCCATCCTGAGAATCGACCTCCCAATTGATGGAGGCATTTATTTAAAAAAGGGCAGAGGGGAAGGCAGGAAACAAAGGGGAGGAGACATTGAGGAGGGAGGGGGGCGATGTAGAGAGGAATGAGAAGGGATCTAAAGGACGGAATTAAAAGGAAGAGCCTGGAGAGTAAAACTAAAGGAGGGATAAATAATCAGGACCGAGGACAGGACAAGAGAATTGGAGAGAGTGCATGAGGAACAACTTGAGAAGGGAAGGAGATTAAATGCGAAAAGACACAAGAAAGCAAACAAGTATAAAAGGGGGTGATGGTAGGGAGAAAGAGGAAAGAAATGCAAGAGTGGAGACTGAGTGGGATCAAGACAAAGGAGAAATAGGGAGAGGAAAAGTAAAGGAAGGGCAAGTAGTGAGTGGATCAGAAAGAGAGGAGGGTAGAGCTAGAAAAAGAAGTACAAATTGTACATGCAGAAAAGAGCCATGGAAATAATGGGGTAAGGATTATGTAACTAAAGAGTTGACGGAGAAGAGAGAGGAGATACAAAGACAGAGCAGATGAGCAGGAAACAACCCCTATCCGGAAATTTGCAGAGAAAGTATTAAAATGAGCTGCCAAACATTTGACGTAATTTTCCTTTCCACTTCAGTGCCTCTTCCATAATCATCTTCATGGTATAGTCTTCTTCCGGACGCCAGAGGCTGTATGGGCACCTGTAGCCTATCCCAAAATCCCATTCTTAGTGCTTTTTTCTTCCACTGCCGTGCTGTTTTTCAGTTTCTGTATTGATAGGTATGAGCTCCAGTTCCAAATGCTCCAGTTCCATATGTATGGGATCCAGCCTTAACTCACCACCACAATCCTCAATGGCTCTGATTTTCAACAAGCCATGGCTGAGACTGAAGTTCCTCAAGTTCAAAATTGATAAGAGTGAAACCATCCTGTTCAACGTCTGCAGAAACCTTCCACTCTCACTATTGATTCTATCTCCTGTCTTTGCTCCTCATTCAAGTTGTTCTATTTGATGCTGAGTTGAGTTCCAAACCTACATCTAATTGTCAGAGAGGCCAATGAGTCATGAGGGGCATGGATTGGTTGAATAGCTAAGATCATTTCCCCAGGAAAGGGGAAGTCCAAAGCTAGAGGGTATAGTTTTAAGGTGAGAGGGGAAAGATGTAAAAGGGACCAAAGGTCCAACTTTTTCACACAGAGGGTGGTGTGTATGTGGAATGAGCTGCCAGAGGAAGTGATGGAGGCTAGTACAATAACAACATTTAAAAGGCATTTGGATGATTTGGAAGGGTTTAGAGGGATACGGGCCAAATACCAGCAAATAGGACTAGATCAGTTTAGGACATCTGGTCAGCATGAACAATTTGGATCAAAGGGTCTGTTTCCATGCTGTACTTCTCTATGACTCTATGATACTCTCACTGCTGTTGGAGTTATAGAATATACCTTCACCTTGTACTTCTCCAATGGCCTATTCAGCAACCTCCTCTGCTCAGCCTATACAAATTGGACACAGATGTAGACTATATTTGTCCAGATCTCTACTGTATGAGACCACTTTTTTTTTGGATGGAAGTTGAGCTGCTATGGAGCTGATGTAACTTGAGAATTTTGCAACTTGGAAATCAAGTGCTGCACAATTCTAAGTAATAATAGAACAATTAACCCAGCTTTTTACTCATTAACGTTTTGGAGTAGATTTATAGCTCGGGTCGTGGGTGTTGTGGTTGGTTGGCTTGCCGAGCTGGTTTGTTGTTCCACTGACATTTCATTACCCCGCTGGGTAACATTATCAGTGCAGCCTCCGATGAAGCGCCGTTGTGTTTTCCTGCCTGGTTTTTAAACTCATTATGGACTATCAATTGAAATACAATCAGATCAAGGTCCTAATTTTATGTCTAACATTTTCAGGACATATTTAGCAAATTAGCAATGTGAGTATGAAACAGTTGAAGTCCACCACTATCATCCACCAACAGACGGAGCTTTATGGGAGATACCATCAGGTTCTCAAATCAAAGATATTATCAAGAATATTCACAGGATTCAAAGGATGAGGTTTCTTCCTATTTCCTTCTAGACATTCACCGGATAAATCTACTGAGTTTAGTTCATTTGATCTGTGACCATGAAATAGAAGGTCTATTGAAATTAATTAAGGAGATTTTTTAAGGCAAAAAGATAAATCTTCAAGGTTGAATAATGTGTCCATCTTTCTAGACAGAATTACAGGAACATGCAAAATAACACAGGAACATTTAAGAACTTTACAGGCCACAATGAAAGAATGTACAGACAAATATGCAAAATCTGAAATGTTTCAAACAGGATACAAAGTGTTAGTGTTACTAACTTTACAAGCTGAGCATCTGAAATGAAGATTCAGTGATTCACACATGATAATTCGGAAGGCTAGTAAAGTGACTCATCTGGTAGATAGTCCTTAGTGCAGGAAGAACAATCATTTATGTCACGTGAACATGTTGAAGTGATATCATTGTCAGGAAGAAGATAAGAAAGAGTAAGTTTGTGAAGTTATAAGAGGAGTAGAGGATGACACAGACAGTAAGAGTAAGGCAGAAGGAATGGTAAACAACTCACAAAACAAACCTCCTGCAATTTGACTAGCTAATACTGAAATACTGGGACAGGTAGGCAAGGTCTCTTCATACTTAGAGGAAGGACAACAGTAAGATAGGTTACACAGATCTCCTTGAATGTTCATGTTAGCCAGGCCTGATGTGGATGTAGGGGAATTAGTATTGATAAAACAACATCCATTTTGATTAATTCCATAAAAAAAGCTCAGGGCATAATGGAGATTCAATATCTGCTAGAAAATCACCTGAATGAATCTAGCTACAGCAGTTGAAATTCATGAGTGGTGTTGGTTCCTAAACTGGATGGTTTGAATAGATTTTGCAAAGGTTATAATTGCAGTAATAAAAATAGATTCTTTCCCATTTCCTCATTAGAGAACTGATTTGATTGAGATGGCAATCCTTCATTTCTTTCGAAGGTCAATATATTGAAAAAATGCAGACAAATACACAAGCTAATGAGATATCAGCCTTTATTACTGCATATGATCAATATCAATCTTAAGTCAAGCCATTCAGGTGTAAAACTGCTCCAGCTACCTTCCAAAGCCTTATGAATCAAGTCATAGCTAAAATGCCAAGCTGTGCAGTGTATTTAGATGATGTCACATTATACAGTGACATCAGGGAAGAACATGTAAAGCAATTACAAGACATATTTAGTAATTATAGTTAGCTTATTTAGTTAATATATCATGCCAAGAGTGAACTTGCAGAAGCAATGGTTACTTGCCTAGTGCACATTGTGAGGCAAGAGCAAATTTGTCAAAAACAGCAGCGGTGAAGGTTCTGATAGAATTCCCCTTTCCTAAAACAAAATTGGAAACTATGAGATTTCTGGGCACGTGGATTTTATTGGAAACTTGTACATAACATCAGCATAATGGCTGTACCTTTTAATACCATGTGCAACCTTCGAGAAGTTGAAGGCAATCCTAATAATTGGCTACCACTGATCTTAGGAAATCTTTTAAAGTGAAAATTGATGCTAATGACTTTGGGGTGGGTGCAGTCTTATTGCAAGATAATGATTTGGGAAGAAAACAAATGGTGGGGTACTTTTCTAAGAGTTTAAACAAATATCAGAAGAAATACTCTACAGTGGAAAAGAAAATTTTGGATTAATATTGACTTTTCAAAATTTTGAAGCCTATGTCCATCATGGTTGCAAAGAAAGATGAATAGTGGCCAAAATCTACTAGCTTTTGTAGAGTAATGTTAGATTCAAAATACAAAATATTTTGTTGGATTTATTGATTCGGCCTTTTAATGCAAACATTATTGGAAAAGATAATATAAAAGCTGATGCATTTATCAAGAATGTGATTGTGCTGAAATAGTTAAAGAATGAGAAGTAAATGACAAGAATTTGTTTCAGTAAAAGCAAAGTATTGTGGACTCTAGAGATCTGAAATAAAAACAGGGTACTGGAGAAACTCAATGGGTCACGCAGCCTCTGTGGGAAGAGTGAACAAAGTTAATATTGTGAGTCCAATAGTGGAGTTTCAGTTTGATTCATTGTTGTCACATGTACTGAGATACAGTGAAAAGTGTTGTTTTGCATGCTGTACAGGCAGATCATACCATACAAAGTGCATCAGGGTGACAGAACGGAGTGTAGAAAACAGCGCTACAGCCGCAGAATATAGTGTTTAGTGGCAGAGAGAGAGAGATCAGCATTAACATTTGAGAGGTCCATTCAAAAGACTGATCACAGAGGGGAAGAAGCTGTTCTTGAGTCTGTTCGTATGTGTATTCAAATTTTTATACCTTGTGCCTGACGGAAAAAGATGAAAGAGGGTATAACCAGGTGGGAGGAGACTTTGATTATGTTGGTTGCTTTCCTGAAGCAACAGGAGATATAGATGGAGTCAATAGAAATAGTTTAAATTATGCATAATGGATGAATAGGAGTGAATGAATAAATTTTCTTGTGTTGTTTGTACATGTGTTATGATTATCTTGTTACAAAATGTATTTAAAAATGGTGTTTCATTAAGGGTGGAGGCATATTAAGAGACCATATATTTTATATTTTTGGGACTATAATCTGAAATGGAAATTGAACTGAAATAGCTGAAATATGAGGAGAGTTCTGAAAATTGGAAATCAAGTGCTGCACATTTTTAGATGCGTCAGACAATATTGTATTTTGAAGCAGTGAGGTAGAGAATTTGAGATTGAGCAGCATTGGGAGTTGTTTCAGTTAAGGAAAGTTTTTCTGACAACTGTCTTCTAATTCGTTGAGCTGTAGAGTGTTACAAAGCTTTAAGTGTAAGGACAGTTGAAAAATCCAGAGCCTGCAAACTGAAAGCATCTGTCTCTCCCTCTCTCTTCCTTCAAATTGGGGGATAAAGACATAAAAATCAAGAAAACTAAACAGAAAGAATTCTAAAAAGGAAAATCCAAGATCTGCCAGATCAACTATCAAAGTGAAGTACAACCATCACCATATCAACAACAGTGTGTCATCAGTGCTAAAAATCAAGAGGAATTGCGTGAAACACTTTAATCCACCTTAAAATCTCGTCTTCTGATCTTTGGAGTTTTGTATACACCATCAATATTCTTTTACTCCCACAGTATCTGTATCAAACTCTGTCTTTATAGTGATTGAGTATGTGTGTGTTTGGCTTTTTAGAAGGGGTATAGTTTAAGTTGCATAGTAGTGAGTTAGAATTCCTTTCCTTTCTCTGCCATTTCTTAAAGTTGTATGTTACAATAAACAGTTATTTTCTGTTAATGACAACACCTAGTTCATTGCGCATTCACCTCCATTCTCCTGTAAGTGCCAGAGCCTGCCTTAATCATATCTCTGCATTCTAAATTGCTTTCTAAATCTTTGCATGTGTCATGACCTTTGAGAGCCTTCACCAACCTAGCTGTTCCATTTCATTCAGATAGGTCTTAGGAGCAAGAGTGGACCACTTGGTTCTTTGAGCCTAGTCATGGCTGATCAGGATATGCTCT